AATTTCTCGAGAACACACTGAAAATTAGCTCCCATGTCAAGATGGCAACCCTGCTGGTCTAGCTAAACAATAATCCCCCCACCAAGCTTGGCGGATCCAAATACCGGAATGTAGCGAAATCAACCCCATTGGTCTCAACAATACCCATGTTCCGAAGAAGCTCGTGGCAGCTGTCCAAATTAGCTTGAGGATCCTCGGTAGATGCACCGCTGAAAGTAGTAGTGAAGAGCTTGGTGAACCTATCCAACCTCCATAAAGCATCGACAGACATAGCCGCTCCCTCGCCGGTCTGAGTCACAATACCCGGCTGAACTGCCACAGCTGGCTGAACCACTGGAACCTATGCCTGGGGAGCTACCTGCTCCGGAGTACGTGTAGCAGGAGTCTGAACTCCTCCTCCAGCCTGAGAAGTGGCTGGTGCTACTGGAAGCAAACCCGCTCTAGTGACGCTCTCCACAAAGCCTACCAATCTTACCAGAGCGTCCTGAAGAACTGGGGTGGCTATGAACCCCTCTGGGACCTGAGCTGGGCCCACCGGAGCTGCTGGGGCTGGAACCTCCTCATCATAATCAACATGAGGCTCCACCTCTGGGACTGCTGCTCGGGGCTGAGCTCTGCCCCGGCCTCGGCCTCGCCCTCTGCCCCTCGTAGGAGCTGCTACTGGGGGCTCGGGCTGCTGCCTAGTAGAAGAGGAAGCACGTGTTCTCGCCATCTGTCAAAGAACAGAGTGGAAAGACAATCAGTATTTGAGGAACAGAATCGCACGACAAGAAGGAACAAAAGTTAAATTTTTCCTAACTCCGTAGCCTCTGGGGATAAATACAGACGTCTCCGTACCGATCCCTTAGACTCTACCGAGTTTGTCCGTGAGTAGCGAGACCTATGTAAACCTAGTGCTCTGATACCAACTTGTCACGATCCGGATTTCCTACCATCGGGAATCGTGATGGCGCCTACTGTCGGAGCTAGGCAAGCTAAGTATTAAAACATTTTCTGATAACATCACAACAATATAAATAAAACGAGTCATTTAAATAAAAGCGGAAGTCTTAAAAGAATAGATAACTGAAAACCAAAATGCGGAAGTTCAATAACATCTCTACCCAGATCCGGTGTCACTAACTCACGAACTAGTAAAGAGTGCTAAAACAAGTCTGAATAGGAGTACATCAATGTTTGTCTCGGTACAAGGAAAACAAACTAATAACATAGAAGGGACTCCGGCCTGCGGACGTCAGCTAGGCTACCTCGAAAGTCCCTGGACTGAAGTCAGCTCCCGATCAAATCCTACTGCTGAGGCCCAAAAGCTGCTCCTGGATCTGTGCAAAAAGATGCACAGAGTGTAGCATCAGCACAACCGACCCCATGTGCTGGTAAGTGCCTGGCCTAACCCCGGCGAAGTAGTGACGAGGCAAGACAGGACCTACTAAAAACAACCTGTGCAGATATATATGTATATACAAGTACAACGAAATAACAGCAGAAAATACCAATTAAGGCGGGAAGGGGACATGCTTAGGGGAAATACAAATGAAAATAACTTATCAGAAGTAAACACGAAACTACATCAGATCTCGTAATCTATATAAGTGGTCGGCGTGCCACACGATCCCATTTCATAATATGTAAGTGGTCGGCGTGCCACACGATCCCATTTCATAATATATAAGTGTTTAGCGTGCCACACGATCCCATTTCATAATATATGAGTGGTTTCCCGGCAAGGGAGAATACGACTAAGCAGTTAAATCCCGGCAAGGGAGCAACAACAATAACTTACACGTCCCGGCAAGGGAATAATCACATCTCTTTCTTTTACGTTCATTTCTTACTTTTTTATCAAGTCAAAAATCGAGCCAACGCTCCAAAGAGTTTACACATCATATTTCCTCCTCATTCTCT